CCTCACATGTGTAATATGGTCATTTTTGTAAGGCAACCAAGTGGAGTTAACCTTAAGGGTGCATGTGTGGATAGTGTGTTTGATTTGCATGCATTTAATCTTCGATTAGGGTTATCTACTTGTTGATTTTATCTTGTCATACACACCCTAGTTACTAACATTTGTATTTGAAAGCGTTAAATTGCGGAAAATAAAGTCCTAAGCTATTACATCGTTTAGGGAATGAGGATACAATTTACAAATGGGAATGAAGTAGGAACTTAAATATTACAACCATATAGAATAACCATGAAGGAAACGTAAAAACAGTGTAAAAAGAAGGAAAAAATGCATCTTGAACTATTATGTGTCGACACAAACTCATATGCATCGACGCATAACTTTCCTTGCCCCTGTATTACCAAATTAACTCAGTATGAGTAGATACATAATGGTATGTGTCGACTCATACACTGCATGTGTCGACTCATACGTGCTTTGTCTCGACTCATACATTGTTTTTCCTTCTGTTTTGGGCCTGTAAAGCAGTATGTATCGACTCATAAGGCTATGTGTCGACTCATACTGTCATTTTTTCTACTTCAACATTGTTTTACTGCATACATCGGTTAGTTCTCAACACATAATGAAAATAATGAAAGATAAACAAAAGGTTAGCTTTAAGAACAATGGTTACTACATTTTTGTCTTCAAAAAATGAATTACTAAAGTCAAGAAACTTACCTTGGAGTTGGATCTTTATACTCTGAATTTGAGTTGTTGTCTTGACTATTATTGAAATTGGAAGAGAAAACAGAGGTGTTGTAGAAGCTTGTTCTTGAGTTTAAACAATTTCTAGGTGATGTATGTGAGGTGCTTAGATGCTTAGACAGAGCTTGCAAGGTGTGAGAGTTCCAAATATTTGGACTTTAAAACTCAAGAGTGGAAGCTTTTTTTGACAATTATGGTTTTTGATGGCTAGTTTACAACAAGACTTCTGGCTTTTCTCTCTATTTTTCTAACCTTTTCCAACCTCTTTCTCTTGCAAATTCTTCTTCTATTTATAGGCAAGGGGTTTGTGCATATGATTTGATTAGGTTTATAAGACATCATGTTATAGTTTGGTTAAATTACAAAGATCAAACTAAGTCAAGTACTCCATAGTCCCAAGGTGAAGTACCAAAGTTGCTGGTATAGAGGAGCTACTTCCCATGATTTATGGTTGAGTATAATCAGCAACAAGCAAGATATGGGCTCAAGACAAACTTTGCACAAAAAGCTTGCTTTTCAAGAATAGCAATGATGCCTTTATGCCATAAATGGAAAGATATTTTGGACAATGGTTTAAACACTTGGGTAATAGCTCAAGAGTGGGTGTAAGCATTAAATTATGATGAGATTTACAAGCAAAGAAGCCTGCAACATAAGATTATGCAGTAAATCATGAGAGTTTTGTTATGTATTCTTCACTTAGAATGACTTGCAATTCAAAGATGGTTGGCCAACTTCAAGCCCTTGAATCTCCTAACTCAAGTATGATAAATTTATACTCTTGGATGTTTTGGAAAGCTTGAAACATCCTCTATAACTTTCATGTTGGCCATTTTGACAAAATCATCTTGGAATTATGTGAAAAAATGCCAAGAAGTTAGGGTAAAATCCTGACCAAAATCTGTTGAAAATTTCTCTAAGTGTTAAATGAAAATGTCATGACTTCATGAATTTGTAACTTGAGACCCCGTCATATTTAGGAGAAGTTGTGTAAAGCAATGTTGTAGATATCATGGAATCTACAACTTTCATGTTGAAAGTTTCTTTTGAATCATCTTGCATCATGATGAAAGAATGGCATGAAGTAATGAAATTATCATGTATAAAAACACTTAGAAAATTTCTAAGTCTTGGAAATATTGACTTTTTAAGTTGACTTTTGACTTTCTAGACTTTCTTGATGATCAAGCTTGATATTCTTGCATGTCTTGATGAAATTTGATCTTTGGAATGTAATATTGACCAAAAAGTCAAAGTTTGACTTTCTAATATGCAATTGACCATTTTTCCCTTGTGTCAATTTCAAGCCTAAATTGATGTATGAGTGCTGCAAACTTGACGTCATAGAAGATCTTGTGAGAGAATCCTTGAGAAATGAGAGGGAAAATTTTGGGGTACAACAGATACCAACTGATTTTTCAAGTATAGATCCTCCTAGGACATGTCCCATATATGTAGTGATACATTCATGCAGTTGTTTGGTAGTTGCTCTAAGTCCATTATTTATGAAAGACATATGTGCATGTGGGCGAATTACCAAACTCAAGTGACATATCTCTGCATGTGCTTCCTGACAAGAGGAGCGACTGGGAAGAAGTGATCTTTGATAAATTTTACACTATAAAAATAAGCCTCAAAATATCAAATGTTTTGCCTCAAAGAAAGAAGACAGGAACCACTCACACTATTGATATTGTTTTAAGTTTTGAAAAGGTGGAAGAACATCATCACTGTCGGCTTGCCCCTTTATATTTGCACCAGATTTAGAAAACTTTGACAAATTCTCAACTCACTAGATGTAAATGAGAAGGAGCTATAAGCAGATGGTTCAATATGCCAACCTCGAATCTTTGATAGGAATGTGATAATAGCCCGTGAGAGAGAACACAATTCATGGAAAAGGACCACACACCCATCGTATGGAATGTATATCCTCTTATCTTCATCCGGGGGAAAAACTCTCAATTATCCACTAGACCCACGTCAATTACTGCTTGGTCGAAAACGTCTTCATAAATAAAAGAAGATATAATCCCTAATATCTCTAGATCCTCCTAGTCCATTTAAATATCCTTAACAACCTTCTTGGTTGAATTTGACACGATAACCATGATTTAATATGTTGTAACATAAAAGAAATGCATGTACAATGTAGCAAACAAGTAAGCTTAAACACCCATTACCTCGTAAACCCTAAAGAAGTAGTACGAGACCAAAAGCGGGAAGTTAAATGTAGAAACTCAAAAAAGAACAACCAAACATGCACGACCAACAAACAAAGTCATCTGAGCTGGATCTTGCACTTGAACAAAATCGCTCACGAAAAAATGATAAAAAAAGCAGAAATAATCTCTTTAGCATGTTAACAATAACCGAAAAGTTAAAAATGACGCTTCATAATCCTTTTATACGTTATTCGAACATTGTTGATCATATGATCACTTCACACTACCAAAGACTGAGATCTCCTCGAAAACGGTTTGAAAGAAACTTAAGCACTCTAAGGAAGGACAAACATCATTACTAATTGGTGTAGGGAGAGTGAAGGAACTGGACAAAACTCATCGGATAAAAATCAATGAAATCACCATCGAACATCTATTTATCTCACGAAGGAGAAAGGGAAATATCTAAGAAAACCTGTAAGAGAGAAATCACGGTCTTTCGACCAAGAAATCGGGTAAGGAAATCGGTTACATGAGGGGAAGGTATTAACACCCCTCACGTCTGTAGTACTCTATGGTATCCACTCTTGTTGTTTATCTAATGGGTGTGTAAGAATCTATATCCAAGTTATACAGGGAATGTATGCAAAAAGAAGAAAAAATATGGGGAAAAGAAAGAAGTTTTTACAAAGATATGCTCGATTAGGCCCCACAAAAACCTCCGCCTACGTATCCCTTTTGAGGAATAAGAGCAACTGTAGTTCGGCTCACATGTTTTGGTTGATTTTTATTTTTTAACGAAACAACATCAATTTCACATTCTACCTGTAACTCGATCTTTTGAGACTCACGCAACTGGAGTAGAACGGAATTAATGTGCTCAAAAAGTGCCTAGAGGCGAATAATGCTATAGTCGCGACTCGTAACAAGTAGACATGGTACAACTCGACCTTTGGGGAATTATGCGTCATATTGTGTAGAGGGGGAAAATAAAACATCCAGTTTGAAATTGAAAATCCAAGAGGCGAGAAAAAGAAGTTTGAATTTGTTTGTGTCTTTTACCTTTTGCGAAAGGATTTTTGGTTTCGTTAACAGTGCTTTTAAAGACTTGCCAAGAAAGAGTATGTTTTAGATGCACATGCTAAGTGGATAGAGAGGAAGAGTCTAAGGGGGACTAACCTATTTTATAAGCCTAATAGTATCATACAATGATTGCCTTAAAGTTTGGACCAAGGTTTCTTAGGAACACAACTCATGTCGAGAAGGAACCATCCTATTTACTATTCGGAATAAACTCATCTCGAGAGTAAACCACAAGTCCTAAAGGAACATGGCAATGGAAGAGAGAAAATACAAAATGTACAAAAAGATAAGCACATAGAAAAACAAATAAAGGAACAAACTCATCCCGAGAACAAACCAAAACATGGCCTTTAAGGAACATCCCATCCGGGTATGAACTAGGCAAATAACATCCGAGTATTTCTTTTATGCTTGTGCAACAAGTAAAATCAAAGGGGAACAAACTCATCTCGAGAATGAACCAAACAAAACTTCAAAGGAACACCCCATCCGGGTATGAACCAGGCACACGACAATTAGTATTTCCTTGTACTTTTAACAAAATGTAAAGTAAGAAACAAACTCATATCGAGAGTGAACCAAACCACAGCCTCTGAGGAACATCCCATCCGGGTATAAATCAGGTGCACCGTATTTCTTTCCTTTTTTGTAATTTTGACATAATTATAAACAATATAGTAAAGGAAACACACCCATCCGAGTATGAACTAAAACCAAATCCACTTGGAACAAACTCATACCGAGAATGAATCCAAGACCAAGTATTCAAATGTCGAACTCACCGAGAACGGAACGAAGCGTGCAAGAAATAAACACGTGCGGAATTGCCTATTCAAAGATAGGGCTTTAAACAACCACAATTAGCATATAGAAAGCGGTTCCTGCTACAGGACTTTAAACAGTGACTCCTACTTTACATGATCTCTAGAAAGAGGTAAATATAATATCGCAACAGATGCCCGAAACCATACCAAACGGGTAATAAGAATCCGTAAAGCAAACTCAATGAGTGTAAGAAACTCGGAAGGCGCCGCAAGCTAGCATCAACAACAAACAGCATCAGAAGCGTGAAAAACAGGTGCAAGCAAAACGTATATGTCACCAAAATGATTGGTATCCAAATTGGCTTCTCAAAGCATACACATCTCACAAAATTTGTTAGTATATAACAATAAAATTAAATGTGGTAATAGCAATTAGCAATATGCGCAAAAATGAAATATGAATATGTATAAGGCAAAATAAACATGTTACATGAGCATAGCATAGTATCTTGGGGAAGCCACTTATTAATAAGTAAAAGTTTGCTAAAAAAATCCCTTTAAAGGTGAGAAACTCAAGTTCCAATATCAAACGTTCATACATGTTGACTTAATGATATGCAAGTTGGAAATTGGAATAAGCAAGAAGTATAAAAAATGCTATTCGGGACAACATTCAATCATTTTGAAAAAATGTAACAATTAAGTCGAAACGCGAAATTCTTGATATCGGAAACAAGTGAATATGGCACTAAGCACAAGTAATCAATCAATGAAAATAGAGTCAAGTTTTAACGACAAAGTGAGTATTCCGGGAAGCCATGCTATACTCATGTAAATATGCCTAAAAAGCGGTTTAAACGCACAACCAAAATACCGGTATCAACAAGAGGCAAAATATGCACAAAGGTGAACAACTCATGAGTCAAAATCCTATGTACATATGATTCAAAATACCGAAAAACATTGTTACCGTTTTGCAATGTTCCAAATATTTTGAAAAAGTGTAACGGAAAAAATTTCGGTATCTTTTTAAAGCAACAAAACAATGCGGTGTCTTTTTAAAGCAACAAAACAATGCGGTAATTCTAACGGAAAAATCTTGAATTACATTGTTACCGTTTAGCATTTTGGCCATGAATGCTAGCACATAAGTATTTATCCACAACTTGCAAGCAAAGCGGTGTTATGTAAATGGCAAAGAAGCCAACAAAATAGTGGGAGAATCACGTGAACTTAAAAAGCATTACAATACATCTACAAGTTGCAAAATATCTCCAATTCAAGTTTATGTCAAAAAGAAGAAAATTGGAGTTATATCATAACTTGTAGAAAGTATAAACTTATGTATCAAGATACATTCTAATGCTTTAACTTCCACCAAATATCAACAAACAATGAAACTAAAGAATGCTAGTTAGTATCAAAGTATTAAAGAGACTACTAACATTGATTTCAACTCATGAGTTTATGTTACCAACACTTTTCACAACTTGCACATAAGTATTTATCCACAACTTGTAAGCAAAGCGGTATTATGTAAATGGCAAAGAAGCCAACAAAATAGTGGGAGAATCACATGAACTTAAAGCATTACAATACATCTACAAGTTGTAAAATATCTCCAATTCAAGTTTATGTCAAAAAGAAGAAAATTGGAGTTATATCACAACTTGTAGAAAGTATAAACTTATGTATCAAGATACATTCTAATGCTTTAACTTCCACCAAAAATCAACAAACAATGAAACTAAAGGATGCTAGTTAGTATCAAAGTATTAAAGAGACTAGTAACATTGATTTCAACTCATGAGTTTATGTTACCAACACTTTTCAATAAGTTGTAAAAATTCAAGAATTAAGCATAATCTCATAATCTCATGAACAACTAACCAATGCCTAGTTTCTTTAGCATTTTGATATCAAGGTTTAAGTTAAGACAATGAATTAGTACCTAAAACTAACCTAAGTTAGTATGCACTAAATCCTAAATCAACATCAATTTAAATTCAAGAAATAGGATCTATACTAAAACTCTAAGTGTTAATCTTGTTAATCCTAAATCAATTCTCAAGCTATATTCAAGAATCCAAACTAAGCTATAATCCTAAATTCCAAGATTATACTAGTTCTAAGGTGTTAGTATCAACAAATTCCTAAATCAATGTAGAATTAACCTAAATTATATGCAAATTTGAAAATTATATCTAATTTCTTAGTTATATTCAATTAATCAAGAAGAAATTGCAACATCGTAATTCCATTCACTCTTCAGATTCAGAAAAAGTTAATGGAGTAGTGGTATTTATTACCTCTTGCATATACTTGAAAAGAGGAAGAGGAAGTTATGGATGTTGATTGAGAGGTGACCGGAGAAGAGGCTGAGACGGACAGAATTTCTGCATGACGGAAGGACTGTGGCGTCGCGACTGAAGGAGGTTGAGAACGCGTGGCTGAAAAGCGGAAGACTGGTTGTGCGAAGACAGGGAGCCGGTCGCGAAAGGGAGATCGCGGAGAGAGTATACGGGCGCAGGAGGCGCGATGATGAAGGAGAGTGTGACGGACTCCGATGGAGGGAGCAGCGATCGGAATTGCTGCACAACGAAAGGAGAGGCAGTCCCGGCGGTGGAGGAAAGGAAGGAGGAGAAGCTTTTTTTTCCTTTTCTCTTTCTTTATTTTTTATATTTGTGAGAGAATAGAGAGAGTGTGAAAGAGAGTGAAAGCGGAGTTTTGAAAAAAATGAGAGCCTCCTCCAAATTTGTGAGTAAAATTTAATATATAATAAATATAAAAATTTTAAATTTCCAGTTTATTCACCGCTTAATATTACACTATGATTTGTAAATTTTTTTGAACAGTAGTCTTCTGTGAAATTGTCTGTCTCTGAGTCACAGACGCAACTCAAAAAGAACGGATGCCTTCGGACAAAATATGAGTGAGTTCGATATGTTTAAGTAGCGAAACGTCACTGTCAAAAATGAATTAAGTCAAAATATCAACTTATTTGACTTCTGCTATTCGAACAAGTCATAAGCTCGTGCTTCAAAAATTAGAATTTCGTCTCGACTTTGCTAGAAGAATTATAGATCTCCACATCCCTGATATTGTGTTAAAAAATGAGAACTATCTGATAAACGATGAATTTATTATGAATTTTCCAGTGGTGCAACATTCAATCTTTTTTTTTACAGATCCAAAAACTCAGTTTTGCAAAATAAACTAACAACGGAGGTCTTCAAACTACCATTTGATTCTGAAATATGAAATAAAGTTGAAGTAGACAAGATTTATGAACCAAAGCTTTGAGAACCGACGTGATATGGTAAAAATTGAGTGAGTTATGAATTTTTGAACATTGGAAGTCAACATGACAGATTCCAAATTCTGCTCAATTATTTTTCAGGAACTCAAAATTCCCATTACTTTTCATATAGAATCAGCTCTTGGTCATAAAAGACGGCGTCAAGATAACATAGAGATGGAATTTTGGGCATTAGAATCGCGCTCATGTGGTACTCCAGCTGGGAGTTATGAATTTTTTAATGTGCCTGAAACAGCGGTTCAGCCAACCTTTACCAGTATTTTACACTGTTTAAACTCTGACAGATTTGCGTATTCGGAGACCATCCCTCGAGAATTAACCTTCGGCCCGAACATAGAAGTTGGGGAGAATATTGAGGTAGATTTAATAGTGAAAGAACCATCTCGAGGCAGTAGACCAAATCGGAGTTATAAATTTCTGAATATCAGAAATACCGTTGATCGGTAACCCGATAACTCAGTAATAAAATCATTTGACCATCTTAAGTGCACAATTGGCTCCTGGCTCGAACACAGAAAATGAAGATAATATCCACACGAACCTGATGATCAAATATCAGCTCAAAATAATACTCTGGCTTAGAGTTAGAAAATTCTGAAGCTTGTCTCAAATTAGATGAAACCTCTGGCTCACCTCTTCCACTCGAGACATGATGGAGTATGTTGAAATTAGTCATGATAAGGAATTTTCATTCACCACCTAGGTGACTTGCATAAAGTTTTGAGCACCTCCGCTAAACAGTCGAACATAAATGCCCTGATCCCATAACAACACGGCTAATGATATGCATATATGTATATGATAATGCAATATAAGCCAAAATAAAGTCGAAATGAATAAGATAAATTTTGGGATACAACAGAGAGATGTCAATTATTCCCAACATCACGTTACGTCTTACGAGAAGCATTTAATTCGCTTGTTCCCAAGAGCATCAGTGTCCCGTCAAAGACCTCCACGTCCATGATTTTGTGGTCGTCCAAAGATAAAATATTATTGTTTTTAAGAAAATTTTATATCATGAAAACAATAAAAATGTATTGACTTAAATGCACTTTTGATCCTATTATTTTTATATTTTTTAAGTTTTAATTCCACCATTTTAAAATTCACTTTTTTGACCTCTAAATTTTACATCACTTAGGATTTTGTTATTCCCCTCTAATTTTGTATAGTTGACGGTGTTTGGGATAAAAAAATTATTCTTAATTATGTGGCACTGCTGACTAGATTAATATTTTTTAAATAATTCACAATTTTAATTCATTCTATTTCAAAAATCAATTATTTAAAAATAATTAATTAATTAAAATTTGTAAAACAAATATTGGGCATATAAACTACTTAGTCTCACGCATGACAACATTCATGCCCCAGCTCACTTGATTTCAATGGAAGATTATGTAGAATAAGTTGTGTTGGGTTGGTGTCCCACATCTTTTGTTTTAGGAAAACATTTAGTATATATATTAATAACTCATCCATAAATTGTACTTGTAAGTGACTGTTTGGGCCATATCCCAATCATTAATGCCAACTATGTAAATTTAACTAAATCTTAAAAAAAACAAAAAATAATCTACTAATTTATACATATATTTAATATCTTCAACAACTTATTAATAAACCTATAGGTATGTCCTTTGTTTAGATCCAACTAACTATTGGTACAATGTTATTAAATAGGAAGGCTTAATCTTCATTGTAATAAAAAGATTATTCAACTTAATAAACAATACTAAAAGAATTTAATTAGATGAGATCTAGGTTACTCCTTTTATAAGAGTAATTTATCTTTAATGATTTATATCAATAAATTTTTTTACATAAAATTAATTTTTAAAATCACATATTAATCTAAAACTTTATGATAATGAGTTTATATATTTTTTTCACTTAAAAAAAATTCAATATCCTCTTTTTCATACAATGTGAATATTATGACTTACCAACATCTTACTATTTAAAAATTCAATATCCTCTTTTTCATACAATGTGAGTATCATGACATACCAACATCTTACTATTTAAAAATTCAATATCCTCTTTTTCATACAACGTGAGAATCATGACATACCAACATCTTATTATTTAAAAATCAAATTATATATTATTTTTTTAATTTCATTTTAATTCTTTAAAATTTTAGATTAATATGTGATTTTAAAATTTTATATTATATATGATAAAATTTAATTGATAAATATCATAAAAATAAATTATTCTTAAATTTATAAATGATAGTAAAATTTACTATTTAATTATTATGCACAACTAGTATAAAAAGATTTTATTTTATACTATTAATTAATTATAATCATTAGATTTTTACTAAAATTTGATTTTTATTTTAAGCATCTCTAAAATAACATTTATGAATAGTTTTAATAGCGTAAAAATACTTACATATACGTAGCATTGCATAAGAATTTATCTCATAATAAAAACAAAAATTAAATATTTTTTTATTAAAAAGATATTCATTCATTTAAATTGAAAAATACATCGACTATTACAAATTTCAAATTACTAAAATTTAAAAATGATAAATCTACAAATAATTTTACAGCATCTAAATTAATAACATATAACAATAATATAAAAATATCTATAAATATAACAAAATAAAAATAACTGAATATTTATACTTTCAGATCTGTAACTAAATATAAATATCTGAAATTTCTTAAAAATAAAAAATAAAAAATCTTTCAAATATGCATATCACTAAATATTTTAAATTTATAAAATGAGTTTGAAAGTACATTTCCCAGTATTTTAGAATTGGTGAAAACTACCGCTAAAGAAATTGTGTCATATTTAATGCTAACGATCTTCTCACTATCACTGTAAAGCCAGAAAAGGAATAACCAACAACCAGCCGAATAGGAATAAATTAAGGACAGACAGAAAATATAACACTTGATTCACAAACCACAATCACAAAGGATAGGATAGGACTAGCAGCATGCATCATCTTGAAGAACTACTCATCTTCTTCCCATTCCTCCTTGGTTTAACCCTAACACTCAACCACATCACTAAACTAACCACATGGATCTTCAACACCTGTCTCCGGTCAGAGAAAAACCTCATCAAAACCTACGGTTCATGGGCTCTGATCACCGGAGCAACCGACGGAATCGGAAAAGCCTTATCTTACCAACTAGCCTACTCTGGTCTCAACCTCATCCTCGTAAGCAGAAACTCAAAGAAGCTCGAAACAGTTAGAACCGAAATCCAAACAAAACACTCTCACGTTCAGATCAAAACCATTACGATCGATTTTTCCGGCGAAGTTTCTTCGGGTATTAAGGAAATAGAAGCTTTGGCTAGGGTTTTGGATCTTGGAGTTGTGATTAACAATGTTGGAATTACTTACCCTAAGGCTATGTTCTTTCATGAAGTGAAAGAGGAAATGTGGATGAAGGTTGTTAGGGTTAATATTGAGAGTACAACTAGAATAACGAAAGCGGTTTTGGGTGGAATGCTGGAGAGGAAAAAGGGTACAATTGTAAATATTGGATCTGGTGCTGCGGTGGTTGTGCCTTCTCATCCTCTCTTTACCATCTATGCTGCAACTAAAGCGTAAGCTATTTTCTTTTTCTCACTTTCTTTCATCGATTCTTATTTGTCATTAATTTTATAGAGATTAATTACAAGCACTAATATTACCTTTTTCGTTTAAAATTAATAAATTATAGACTAAAATTGAATAAGTTTTTTATTTAAAAAATATTTAATCCTATTAGTATTGCTATTACTTACATCACTTTGAGACTCATCTTAAATAATGTATTTTCAAATAAATAATATTTTAAGATGTAATAATATATTATTGAAATTCGTATAAATGTATGAAATGATAAAATAAGAAAAAGATAAAAAAATTAATATATAATTGATATACGATATGAGATATAATGTTAAATGTTAAATATTATATGTTTAAATAACACTAATCGTATTTTATATTCATTTATTTAAATCAATGTGTGTTTTTATTTAATATTAAATATATTTTTAATTTTAAAATACTTTAATAACATGTAGTAGTAATATATTGTTATTTTTTATATTTAATATATGTTTGGCCTAACTTTTACACATCAATCCTAGTTTAATTCAATTCTTGTGGTAGTCTTGTAGTCTTCTGTTTTTTTTTTTAATATTCACACAAATGGTTTAAATTTATCTTATTTCAATACTTAAAACTTGTTTTTCTATTACTAGATTATCTCTTTTGACATTGTTTTCTTCTTTTGGATATTTTATAAAATAAAATTGGTATAAAACCTACTTCAAAATAGTTGTTTGACTTTTTAAAAATATTTATACAATAACTTTTATTTTATTTAAAATCACTACTAAATAACCTAACTATTAAATAATATATTTTATTATAAATGTTTTTAATAAATAAATAAATAAAAGTGTGTCATTATAAAAAATAATTATTTAATTATTAAAATATATAGGTGTAAATCGTAATTCACAAAAAAAGTATTTATTATTCACAAAAAAGGTATTTATTATTCACAAAAAAGGTATTTATTATGCACCTACTATTGTCGAAATTACTAACCGTAAACCATGTAAAGGATAACGTAGTTGGTTGCCGAGGTAATACGACAGCGACATTTTTTTATGATACTATACTATATATATGATAAGTTTTAAAATTTTCAAGCAGAACTATTACTAAGAAAAATTAAAAAACTGTTTTTACTTCTGAACCGATTATTAAATGAGGTGAGAGGATATAAGTACAAAATGTCAAAGGACGGTGAAATCGGTAGGCAGATCAGAGCAGTAAGTCGTACTTAATGTGATAGTGGGCAGTGGCATAGCATGCTTCTTGTTTGTTTCACTTTATTATTGTGTACTTGTGCTGGTTAGGGCGTTAAGGTAATCTAACTACAGTGCCATTTTTCATTTGGGTTAAGATTTCTTCATTTCTTAGTAATGGAAATAGAGAAATATAAAATTGAGAAAAATGTGTTTATATAATTATAACTAAATGTGTGCTATGTGTCCTAAGAATAGAGATGAAAATGAGTACTCATGGATGCTGCTACTCTCGTAAATATAATATCCGTATTCTCTCTATATCTGTATAAATATTTATAGATTTTGATATACTCACATATATATATATATATATATATATATATATATATATATATATATATATATATATATATATATATATATATATATATATATATATATATATATATATATATATGTATATATATATATACATACAGGTATTCATGAATACTTTTAATTTTTTTTAAAATATATAATAAAATAATTTTTTTAAATAATTTTTAAAGAAAAGAAAATAATTTTAAATAATAATAATAATAATAATAATTTTAAATTAAATAAATTAATATTTAAATAATTTTGTTAATTATTAACATATACGGATACTTGTGAGTAAGAGTATCATCAAATTCATATTCGCACCTGTAAGTAAACAGATAACTAAATATCAATTTATTTTACCCGTACATACTCATCCATTAAAACATCCTATTCCTATCCGTGGAAGATTTTATGCGCGGGTACCTACATGTATTAGTTTTTTTTGGCATCGTTAACTAAGAAGTGTGCTTAGAACATAAGTTAAGAAATTAATTGTATATTTATTTTTTTAATTTCTTATAATAGTAGGCTATTAATATGAAAAAAATCAATATTTTAAAAACTGAGTCAAATTGACCGGTCATACCAGTTGTATCGGAAATCAAAAGGATTATTAGTCAGATTTAATTGTTGAATCAAATATGTTATTGAATAGATGAAAATCAGTCGAAACAGGTGAATCAATGGTTTAAGTGTATGTTTTTTTTCTTGGACAAAATGATGCTTTTTCATAATTTAAAAAAAATTAAACTTTATTTAAAATTTAATTTGAACAAATTTTCCTTGTTTGCAATTAGATTTGGTTTCAAATTTATTTAAATTTATATTTTGTATTATTTTGTTATGAGTGATGATTATATTTAGAACTTGAATTTAAAGAATGAATATGTAAAAATATGATATTTAAAATTTTGAATTGTAGGAATCGTGATATTTTTTAGAGACCAAGTCATTCGGTTCGACCGACTTAATAAATATATTATTTTTTATAAAGATCGATTTATTCAATTGAGTTATCCAATTTAGTCATACAATTTAATCAATAATCTAATGGTTCAATCAATAAATCAGCGATCCAATATCCTCATTGATTTAATGACCAATGTGATTTTTAAGACATTGGAAAATATTAACTTACATTTAAAATAAATATGATATTAAGTATTCATGTCTTTATCTTTGGTTGGCCTTTTAATATTAAATGCTGGCATCATTTGTAATTTTTTAATCTTAAAAGATAGAAAACTATTCATTTTAATGTTTACTAATTTTTTTGAAAGGAAAAGATCAACTCATATCAAGAATATTTTGAATACATATTAGAATTATATTAAAAGTATGGATACTAGTAAAAGACGGAGTTATCCTAGCCAAAGCATGCACGACTTCATTAGCTTATCTCCTAGTAAACATAAGAGTTCGTAAACAGAAAGTTCAACAGACGATTATATTCTCGAGTAATCGCACCAAATTCCGAAACATTGGGCTTTAAATTATTAACATTATCCACCACACTTTTAGCATCCAACTCGAAATCCATATTATCTAGACCCAACTCGTGCACCCAGTTGATAGCTGCTAGGAGGCCTAGAGCCTCTCTGATACATACGTTAGTGGTGGGAGAAAATCATTATGTTCTAGCCATGACAAAACACCCATCAACGTCCCTTATACAAGCACCTACGCCTACCTTATTCTGAGAAAAGGAAGCATCGATATTACATTTAAGACGCCCCGCCAGAGGTCTACCCCACTTAGAGGTAAAAGGTCTGGTATTTGGGATAATATTATTATTTCAAACATGTTGAGCTTCTTTTCAGCCCGCCAAAATATGCATAGCTCGATGACAAATATCAACTGAAGATTCAGCAAGATGATTCCAGATATGATTGTTCATGCCTTTCCAAATACTCCATATAATAGTAGAGAAAATCGTCTGATGATCTTGATTAACAGCCTGTAAAAAGGAAAAAATAATAGAGGTGAACTCACCCCCGTTAAGAATCAATGGCTGAAGCGTGGACCATAAACCCACTTTATCCCAACACTCAAAGCTCTTAGGACACTGAAAGAACAAATGATAATTATTCTCTTCTCCTTCCATACAACCTATACAACTCGAGGGACAATCAACTCCTTTATCTAAAAGTTGGCTTTTGGTGGGAATACAATTCCTACAAAGACGCCACAAAAAGTTCTTAATTCTCGGAGGACCTTTAATATTCCAGACAAGGTTCCAATCCCCGTTGATCGTCAGATAAGAAGTGTCAATAGCCTTATTGATACATTATCTATAAACACTACAAACGGAAAAAATCCCATCTTTCTCAATCTTCTAGATTAACTTGTCATCCTGAACCGCATCAAACAATGAAGTATGAAGATTTTTTTGAGCAACATCATCGCCAACTAATGAATGAAGCAAAACTGAGTTCCACTGTTTTTATTGGGAATCATTAGGTCTGAAACTTTGAGTGAATCCATCATCTGGTGATCTAGCCAAGGGTTACCCAAAATAGTGCCATCGGAAACCTAAGACAGATTCCAAACCGAAATATTATCTCATTTACCAATGCTCCATCTATTCTCACCTCGCACAACAAACTTAGAGCTCCAAATACTCCTCCAAACATAACTGGGATTGTGCCCAACAGCAGAATCCAGGAAAACACAATTAGGAAAATACCTGGCCTTATATAGACGAGAAACAAGATTTGTAGGATTACTCATAAGGCTTCAAGCTTGTTTACTAAGCATAGCATCATTAAACGCATTGATATTCTTGAAACTCATACCTCCTACAGATTTTGGCATAGCCAACCGATCCCAAGATAATCGGTGAATGCCTTTACCACTATTACCTTTATGACCCCACCAAAAGGAGTTCATCATCTTCTCAATCTCATCACTGAATGAGGAAGGCAATAAGAATAGATTCATCATATAAGTCGGTATGGATTGGAGAACCGACTTAATGAGAGTTTCCCTACCTGCTTGAGAAAGGCACTTACTACTCCAAGAATTAATTTTCCGCCAAATTCTATCTTTGATGCACTTGAAAGAAACTTTTATATTTGTACCAATCATGAATGGTACACCAAGATATTTGCCAGTTTCCAATACTTGTTGCACACCTAACACGTTGGCTAATAAGTTTTTTGTATCTGTATCCATATTCTGACTACAGTAGAACTCAGATTTATGGAAGTTTATAGCTTGACCCGAGGCTTCTTCGTAGGCAGCAAGAATATTTTTCATCGTCCGAGCTTCATTAATATTCGATCTAAAGAACAGAAAACAGTCATCTGCGAATAAAAGATGAGTAATAATAGGCGCATTTCGACAAATTTTCGTGCCATGTATGTCCCCCTTAGCTTCGGCTTGCTTGATGAGAGCAGATAGGCCTTCCGAACAAAGGATAAAGAGGTACGGGGAAAGAGGATCCCCCTGGCTCAACCCATGAACCGGAATAATTGGACCAACCAAATTGCCATTCATAACCACAAAGTAATCTACAATTTCAACACAGAGCATGATCCAACCAATCTACTTTTGACAGAACCCCATTTTAGATAGGACATCCTTTAAATATTCCCAATCATTCTTGTCATAAGCTTTGCTGATATCAAGCTTAAGAGTTATATCTCCAAGTCTCCCCCTAGTTTTGGTCTTCATATGATGGACTATTTCTATAGCAACCATAACATTGTCTAGAATAGATCTACCCAGCACAAAGGTCGATTGATTATCTGATATACACTTACCAAGGATTCTCTTCAGCCGATTCGCAAGAACTTTAGTAATCACCTTATGCAACACTTACATAGAGAAATTGGTCTCCAATCCTTCATTGTAGTTTGAGAGTCTCCTTTCGGAATAAGAGTGATGTTAGTCTTATTAAGACTATGAAGGAAAATATCACTATCAAGCCATGAACAACACAGGAATCCCAAAAATGATGATAAAATCCAAGATTATAACCGTCAAGTCCTGGGCTTTTATCGGCTTGCATGAAAAAAATAGCCTCTTTGAATTCATCGATAAAAAATGAAGTTGTCAACATAAAATTCTCCTCATCAGTAACAGGAGAACTTAGAGCTTGCAACACCTGATCACAGGAACTTGGTTGTTCTGAAATAATTCTACAAAGTAGTCATGGACCACTTTACACAAACCTTCCGTAGAACTAGTGACTTCCCATCATCGAAAATAAGCGAAGTAATAGTATTAACTTTTTCCTGGTTGTAGCGGAAGCATGAAAGAATCGAGTGTTGAGATCATCCTTGTACCAATGGGCTTTCCCTCTTTGCTTCCAAAATAGATCGTCTTTCACAAAAAGGGAATTTAACCGCATTTTTAGAGAAATAAAATAATTTATATTACCTTCATCAACATACTGCCTTGTTGTATCGAGTTGATTACCAAGCTTCTCAATCTCCTTTCTATTCTTAAGACACTTATTTTTACTCCACTGCACCATTTTCTCTCCACACACAGCCAGCTTATTAACAATGTCACCAGAATTATCAATCAACCATTGCTCTTGGACAGACTCTTTGAATCCAACTTCAATAATCTAAGCATTCTCAAATTTGAAGCCTTTACAGGGAGTAAACTGGACTGGTTTATTATCACAGATAAGAAGAACTGAGTAATGATCGGAAGAAGTCTCCGTAAGGCATTTCAATTTCGCCTCAGGGAACAGGAGACTCCAGTCGCTGTTTACCATAACTCTATCAAGCTTTTCCTCAAATAGCTCTATTGGTATCTAAGCTCTTAAACCAGGTGAAAGAATAGCCAACCATTTGAATATCAATCTGCCCCACATCTTGAACAGCTTGATGAAAACCATCTATCAACCAGTTTTGCCTTTCCACTCTACCTCTTTTTTCATCCGATGATAAGATATCGTTAAAGTTGCCAATAATGCACCAAGGTAGATTAGAGGTTGCAGCAAGATTACGCATAAGATTCCAAGAATCCCGACGTCGGGAGGTTTCAGGGTAGCCGTAAAAACCAGTAAGTCTCCAATTAGCGAAACGCGAATATTGAACAGAAATGTCAATGTGATTATTTAAGTAATGTTGGATAGAACAGTTAGACGAATTCTGCCAAAGAACAGCTATATTGCCACTCATACCAACACGATTAATCGTAAAACAACAATCAAATCCAAGCGAGTACCGTAAAACTTCAACTTTATTAGCATAACTTTTTATTTCGAACAAGAATATAACATCCGGTCGATGCCTACGGACGAGGTACTTAAGATTAGGAACTACACTCGGGATACCTAGACCCCGACAGTTCCAACTAAGAACATTCATTTCTTCTGGCAGGCCTGACCATCAGTACCCGCCAATACAACAGAGACAACAAAATTGAGATTATACTGCTTGGCTGTGTCATTTCCAGCAGTTGTGTTATTTCCAGCAGTTGTGTTAATTCCTTCATCAGCTCCCAGTAGCATTGTAATATCTCCAGAGTTATTAACAAATTTGTGGTCCGGCTCGTGTGGCTTAACTTCCTCCATGCGAATCCTTTTCTTCATGATGATGAGCTCTTTACCTAGTTGCACTTCTTTCTCAAGCATCTTGTTTCCTTTCAACGGTGTCTTATGGCGGGCTTGAGCTTTCAAAGAAATTCTGAAATTAATTGCTTTGTTATTTCCATTATGAGTTTGAGCTTCAGTAAAAATAGTATTGTCAGCCTATTTTAAATTATCCGCAGGATTGTTATGCATAGCCTCTATTCTGGATCCAGTAGATTGCAGTTTGTCTTTAACAGGTGATGTTCCAACAGTGTGTTGACTATCTTTCAAGCTGGATCCTGCAACCGAAGCCAATTTGTTGATCACAGTTCCACTTACATACTCTCTCTCCTGCATAATCTGACCCAAATCTTTTGGATTTATGAAAACTCCATCATTCTGCCCCACAAAAGTAGCATAATGAATGTCTCCCCCATATTTTAGGAGCAACAGTTCTGTAGGGACAACATTATTGCTAGAATGATGAGTGTTATCGAGGGCGTTGAAAGAACTTTTTGGAATCTGGATGACACCCACTCACAGCATACCAACAGCATCTGGAATGTTGCTGCCATTGGACATATGCAACAATTGAGAAGCAAGTGATTGTTCAGCTTCAACATGAGATCCCGTAGGGACCCTTGGACTAACAACCACTTTGTTTGTCAGCGAAACAGCCAGCTCCAGCTCTGCACTTGGAATAATCTGAGTTGATGATGATTCCAGCACTTCATTTGTCTCAGGCTGTAGCTTTTCAACAGGATTGAAGGAAATCCATTTTGCCGCTTGATCCACACTTCTTTCAGCAGCTTTGAAGAAAACCAGCTTTTTGGATATAGAATCCCTATCGATCAGAACCTTTCCATGCAAAGTGTGACGCTCATTTATCACATTGGTATTTGTATCATTTCCATCAGTTTCTCTATCGCCAACAAATCTGCCTTCTCCGACACCACTTCCACCACCTTCTTTGTTCCTGCCATTTCTAAGCCACTTGTTTGAGTTACCGTTCGCCTTGAATGCTCCAGATTCTGCCCGCACGAAATTTCCCCAACCTTTCTCGTCTGGTCTGGTGCTAGAAATGAATTTCAAGTGGCAAAAGTTCAAATGTCCAATGAGACCACATAGGAAACAAAAGGTTCCAAGTTTCTCATACTTAAACACAACCTGGACCTTATCACCTGTCATTCGATTGAAAAACCAACTCTTCTTCAATGGCAGCTGAACGTTGATACCCACTCTGATTCTCATGAATTTCCTCCACGAGGCGTAGTTATTCTGCTCATCATACTTCACGAATTTTCCAATGTGGTTTCCAATAAGGATATCAACAACTTCACTCATAAAGTCGAAGGAGAGTTGGTACACTTGGACCCAAATGTCTGCTTCATTCAATGGAATCGATAATGGATCCTCCCCAATGTGCAATTTTTGTAGCACCAACATAAAATTATCGCCAAGGGCCTCCTTGAATGACTCTATCCATATCCCACACATGGTAGAATTGGAAGAGAAATTTGTTTTCGTCCAGCTTTATGATATCCATGGTTTGCCCCGGTTGCCGCAGTTGAGCAAGCATGTCTTGCAGCACAGCAAACCGTACAACTTGGTTTGTTTGCAGCGTTCCAATCAAACATAAATCAAGAAGCTCTTCAGCTGATAAGTTAGCAGGATCAATGTTGATACGACCATTGGCACCATTCTCAGCGTAGTTCGATCGATCCATAGGAAGAAAACCGATCAAACAGCAACTCACAAATATTATGATTTTTATTATGATTTTTCTGGTGGCAAGAAACATGAGATGATGGAATAAGAGTTGAGGATCCATAGTATTTAAACTAATTCCTTGTAGACAAGAGATCAGAAAAATATTTGCAGAATAATTATTATTGATGAAATTATTTTGAACTATTGTGAAGATCAGAACTTTCTTCTGACAGTGTAATCTGAAATTGGCATGACTTGATCCAACATTACTAGAGTTTGGCACTTTAGGATAACCAGATACATATATTGTCCCCCCCAAATCAATTATTATCAAATCTTCCTTGAACAAAGGCTCATCTAATTTCCAAAAAAGGTAAGATTTGATCTGTCCACTCCTAGTACAGAAGAAGCTATACAAAACTGATAACACAAAGAATGAGCCCTAGACAAACTGCCAGAAATTAATCAAGCAACTCCTGATCTCCTGCATCTCCAAAGTATCAGTCCCGTTAAAAATTCTTCCATGTCTTTTCCAGGTTTCTCTCATATCATCAATTGGGATACTATAATCCCATAAATAGACATAAGCAGATCACGATTTGGATAACATTTCGATACGCTCACCCATACAAGGAGACACAACATATCGAACTTTAAGAGCTTGAGCCAAAATCCAGGGATATAACCGAGTGATCATCAACAGAAATATCAGAACCAATCAATCCATATCACAATAACTTTCCTCCATGAAGATGAAGCACTATACAACACCAAAATGCCTCCAGTAGCAATGCTAAGAGAAAATAGGTCTTGAGAGCTGATAACATCCAAATGTTATAGTCTACAAGGAAATGAAACACCGACTCTCACTCGAAATCAAATTTCAGAAGAGAAACACAAGCAAACAAGGTCAGCTTTGTACCAGGTTCTTCTATGAGACATATCATCGAGTACCATGAAGACAAGATTTGGGCGTTAACACATCAATACCATTTGAGCAGAATCGATCACATCTTAAAAAGAAACCAATTCACTGAAACCCACGACCACAAATCCAGAACACTTCGATCACCAAACACCAACACCAAACATCGATTACCCAAACACCGATCACCAATGAAAACTAGGGGAATCTTATTGGATGATTATGAGAGAAAAAAACCTTTGTTTACTAATTAGAAAATGTAAAAATGTCATACATATATTTATTTAATTAAGTTTTAGTTAGCATATACCAATATTTTAAAATATTAATACTACTTCTAATCCTTATTATGAAATAAATTATATTTTAAATTAATTAAATAACCTATTACTTTAAATATATATAAATTATTTGATAATTTTAAAAAATAATTTTTAGTTCCAATGAAATATTATTTAACAAAACAAATTTCATGCAGTTATGTAGATCAATTTTCAAGATCTTTACACATGGAGTACAAACAATATGGAATTCACGTACAATGTCAGGTATATATATATAGATTTCTGTTTTTAAGCTTAAACACGAATAGTGTGTTTGGTTGGAACGAAAGAGGATGGAAAGAAATTTTAAGGAAAGAAAGCTTAAATTCCAAGAACCTTCCGTTGTTTGGTTTGCACAAAATAGAAAAAAGAAATAATATTTATATTGGAACCACTTTAAAAATGTTTCCACTCAAAAGACAAAAGATAAAACGAAAAAAGACAAAAATAAATTTATAGGAAACACACTTCTAACTTAGTTGAATATCACTATTCTTTGTACAACCAAATATTATTATTCAATAACACGTTATTTTATACTTTAAAATAAATTTAAATTCTAAATAAATTTATGTTAAAAATATTCATATTCAATTACTTATTATGAATTACTTATCATGAATTACTTATCATGAGTATCTAAGAATTTCATAAATAATATCTTATGATTCATGTATGAGTATTTATGGAATTTTAAAATAAATATTCTTCTTTCTTTTTATTTTTTATTCACTTTCACTCCTATCAAACAACTTTAAAATTATCCTATTTTTGGTCACTTGCTATTCACTTTCACTCTTTCAACATTCTTCTCTCTTACTTTCTCTCCTTAATCTTTCTCTTCGCATCTAAACAAAATATAATTAATAGATAATCCAATTATATACAAATAATCTCATGCCTAAGTATAAGTTTAAACACTAATATACTAATAATCCAATTATAGACCTCATCAAATTATTTTTGTGCCCTGAATTGTGTTATTCTAGCATGATGATCAATAATGTTTAGAATTTTTGGTAAGTAAATTAGTGTTGATATTATTATTTATCGTAGTTAACGTTGATAATATTGGCATGGAATGAAGGTACCACTGTATGTTGCGACGAACATGGTATCAAGGGTGGCATCTATTGGAAGAGATTCTTTATTCATACCAACACCTGAAGGTTATGCAAGAGCTGCTATTCGTAAAATAGGGTATGAACCAAGATGCACACCTTATTGGGCTCACTCAATTCAATGGGCCTTTGCTCGCTTAATCCCAGACCAACTTCTCGACTATTGGCGAATGTCCATTGGTTTACGACGCAGGAATCACAAGGACTAGAGTCTAGAGAAATTGAGAAGTTGAGATGATATAAATATTTTAAATTTAAATGTATTTTTAATCTCTCTATTTTAAAATAGTAATATAAGCCTTATCTAATACATGTTAATCAAATTGGTGTTTGGAGGGTTGAGTGTATAACCTCTCCATACTCAAATTTGGTCCCAAGACTCCACTTTTTACATCTTCCTTTCTCATTCTAATTTATATATGATGTTTCAATTATTTAGTTACTTTTATTTTAATTTGTAATTTTTTATTAATAATATTAAAAAGAGTAAAATAAAAAATTGAAAGAAGATAAATAAATAGTAGGAGAAATGATGAGAAAAATAAAAATTAATATTTTATTAAAATTGTAAAATGATTTATAAATAAAAAAATTGAAACTCTAATATACAAATGACAATGTCCTAACACATATTGAGACGGAGATCTCTGCGTAACAACACTTGGACTGGATAAAGCACACTGGTATAATTCATATCAGAACAACGTTAGGTTAGATGTTCCAACATCTTATATAACCTTCAATCAATTAAGAAAAAAAAAGTGAACAGTACAAAATGATAAAAACATAAAGATATGATGACCTAATTCGGCGTACAATAACACCTATTCTGGGGGCTACCAAGTCAGGAAGAAAGTCCATTATCAGCAGTATTAGTTCAAAGCTAAATTCTCCCGTTTACAACTTCTCACTTAATTCATATCCAATGCAACTTCTACTTAGGTTCTCCCTAAAAATGAGAAACCACCATCTCGCTTCCTAAATCACCTTAGTGATATCTAACAATCATAAAGTTCAGCCAAGACTCTTGACTAACAACCACACTTGGATTTGCTTCAAAGCTTCATCCAAGAACAATATACAATTCATTACCTAAAGGCTTCTGAAACTGTATAGAAATCAAAGTCTACTACAATGTATCAAACCGATATAAAGGGTGACTTACAATACAATAAAGTCTACGACTCTCAAAACCCTAACCCCTTATAATTTCTTTACAAAAGTTTTTTGTACTAGGATTAGTTGAAAAGTCCTAGGTATAAGTCTTTCTTTTATAATCTTCAGTTGTCCATGGGATTTGAAACAACAACATATTAGTTGCTGAAAATCTACATAATCTTCTGCATAAAAATAGGTCTTCAATCATAACCTTCCTAATTTATCTCCATAATTAGAAAGTGATAAACCTCCTTGAAATCATCTTGAATCTCTTCAATCTTCAACCTTAGCGCCACATAGGATAGCATAATATTCCCTGAATATTTTGCATCTGTTAAATCTTAAACCAATCCAACATCTCAGCTCAATACAGTCGCGATGTCGAATGGCTCTGCATATGACATCTTTATTTGACATGATTCTTCTGAAAGATAGAACGTCTTAGTTCAATACTTCTGACTTCTTCATCTTGGATACCTCATAAAATTACTTAATATTTCCAGAATATTAAGTAATTTAAATTATTTGTATCCAAACTGTGACAGACTAGATGTTCTGCTCTTCTAGTTAGGACAACATATACGACATGTTGAAACTACATGTTGAAACATCTTATTCAACATCTTTCTGCTATGTTAGAGCATCCTATGTTCTGCCTAGTTTGTTTTACTAAAATTAATGTCAATCATAAAATATAGAATTAACAATCTTCTTCATTGATAAATTTTGGCTAAAACAAATTAACAATATATAGTTCATAACATTTTTGAAGACAAATAAACATCCATCAGTGGTTACACACTTATCACATATATTTTTCAACTTGAGTTATTTGCAGTTGAGAAGTGGTCTTCAGAGCCTGCTCAATGTAACATCCCGAATTTTAAATTAATTATTTAATTAATTAATTTAGCATGATTATATGAGTCGTGGTGAATTATTGGAGTATATGGTGCTTTGATGCTTTAGGTGAGTCATTGTGATGTCATATATTTGTGATGTTGTGATGAATATGAAGACTTATGTGATGTTTTGAAATGATTCATGTGATGTTGTGATGATTTGTGTGATGCTTAGGTGCATTGAGAGATTTTGGAGTAATTTAGAATAATTTATAATAATTAGAATAATAAATGAAATTTTTTTAATTAGAAGAATAAGAGTTATTTTAGTATCGAGGAAGTAAGGGCAAGATGGTCAAATGAGAAGAAATAAGTGAGGACAAGATAGTGTATTTTTGATATTATGGGTCTAATAGAGTTACATGAGGAATATAAAATATTATTCTATTCATACGATCGTGAGATTGGGAGAAAAGCAAGGAGGTAAAGCTAGGGAACAAAGAGACAAGGGAAATTCATAGAAAAACCAAAGAGGAGTTGCAACTTTGCTGCTATAATCATAAGGTAAGGGTGTTTATCATTGTTATTATAATTGGTCTAAGGTTTAGATAATGGTAGGTTTGTGTTTAGTGTGTTGATTTGGATGAAGATTGATGAAAAACCATGTGTTGAATGAATGAATCCTTGATGAATGTGTGATATTAAGACCTTTAAATAAGTGTTATAGGTTGTTAAGAATGTTATATAATCATAGGATTTTGAATTTTGAAATTGGTACTTTTTATGGAATTGAATTCGGAGGTCCAGAAGGCCTCCAACCATGGAAAATCGCAGAAGGAGAAGTGTTGTTTGGTTAGCTTTGTCGGGCGACACAGAGGTGATGTAGAGGCGACGCAAGTTTCTCCGGACGACACAAAGGCTGCACTGGGCGACGGATGGCAGAAGCGAAGTGATATTTTAGAAATCTTAAAATGATCATAACTTTAGTTCTAGAGCTCAGAATGAAGTGTCGTTCGAAGTGCTAGATAGCTAACACGATGAACTATAATTATGAGGAATAAAATGGAGGATAAGAAGGATAATTCTAGTACCTAAGTTAGGATAGAATTAGTTCCCTGCATTGAATCACAATGATGTTTTGTGATAATGAAGTATGATGACGATGTGATGGTACTATGATATTAATTTGATTATAAAGATGATTACATGATGTCATATTGATTGTGTAGTTTGTTTTAACGATGTATATGATGTTGTGTTGATTTATATAATGATTTTATGATGTTGTTTTGATTCCTTTGATGATATAAGGATATTTGTGATGATTCATGAATGGTGATACATGTTGACTAGTCGTGGTCGTGTTATTTATGATATTGTGTATCATTGCATTGATGGCATATTAGGAATTCGGTCCAGTGATGGTGATTAGGACTTCGGTCCAGTCGTGGTGATTAGGACTTCGGTCTAGTGATGATGGTAGGACAGTTGTCCAGTGAATGCAATAATCCCATTGTGTGGATTGGGTGCAACAGTGAAGTGCTCTGGTTCCAAGTGGGAATCAATCCTATTGGTGGAGATATTTAGAGATTGAAGATGACTGAGTCATCAGTGACGTTTAGGTACCACATGCATGATTCATTTGATGATTCATTATATTTTGTGTGACATTGCATATTTATGTTTTTTATTGATGAATGATGATACTCGTATATGGTGATGTATGTTACCGTATCTTGGTGAATTGGTGAAGGTGTGAGTATAATGTGAAGTGTGATGAATCATGATACTTTACTTATATGTACATTTCTATATGTCTATTCCTTATTTCTTATATAATAATTATGATTTACTCACCCTTCCTGTTTGAATGTTGCCTCCACGTGGGTAACACGCAGATGATCAAGAGTAGTCCGTAGGAGCTTAGAGGATAGCTTCAAGATGCGTCTTATTTGTTTTCAGTGGAATAAGGGAGTCTCGCTCTGATATGTAACATCAGGGTTGTGATTGTTTGTTGATAACTATATGTCTCTGTTTACTGTGATGCTTTCTAAATTATCTTGTTTTGGTACTGATATTCGAACTGAATCATGATGTTTAATTTGATGATTTATATGAAGTACTTGGATTAAAGATGGTTTGAGAAGTATGATTTTCGCTGCAATGATTTAGAGATGCTAAATGCATATAATTTGGTTTATAGTTTTGCAACTTGTGTTACAGAGCAGGATGTATCATAAAAATGTTTTGTGAAGATGTGACACCCTTGTTGGTGATATTACTCTAATTTATTTATTCAAATAATTGGGAAAATTCCTTGGGTTTAGAAGGGTGTTAGACTTAACATATCAACATAGAGAATAATATACTCAATCAGGTGGATGACAGGACATCACGCTCGACATCTCTTCACAGCAGTCCAATTTTTAACCACTCCACCCTTTCAACAGAGAACCGAAAGATTCTCCCCTTAACAGCAGCATCATAGATCCAATAGTAGAAACATAGATCCAAAAAATTCCAAGTTCACCCATCTTTCCATATAAACACTGAGGATGTACTCATAACACTAGATGATGTACATGAGGAAGAAGATGACTGACACTCCCCCTCAACCCAAGAACAAATCTTTCCCACAGAGAGCATAAGATGACACTTAAGAGGCATAAGAGAACTATTAAGAACCAATCAAACACCAAACTCAATAGACCAGATGATAACTTAGGGGTGCAAATTTTGGCCTCAGGTAACTCAGAACACAAGACACAATTGTGCTCATAACTCAGATCACAAGACATAAAAAGAAAACTCAGAACGAGTAAGAAAGAGCAAATTCAAATACTCTATCAAACATCCTTTCAAAGAAATTGCAAGGAGACTTTAGTCTTAAAGGAAGAACAACAAAAACCAGACATTTCTCTCCCCTTTTTAGCCAAAAATTTACAAAGATATCCCCCACAAAACCATACCCAGACTGTACTCACCCAGACGTGGACAAAAGCCATAAGAGCTTTGAAGATAAGAAACCAACACAAGATTATAGAAGAGACAAAATAACCTCTTTAAATACTTGAGCAATTCTTTAGGAATTAACGATCCTCGAATGTAACGATGGTCTTGGTCAAAAAGAGGCGTTATTTGAGGAAGCTAATTGTGTAACACACCGATCTAATTAGAATTATTTTATTTAAAATAATTAGATGATATGA